GAGCCTGATGCGGGACTCGATCCCGGGACTCCAGGATCATGACCTGAGCCGAAGGCAGTCGCTTAACCAACTGAGCCACCCAGGCGCCCTGTAAATATAATTTTTAAAAAGGAAGGCTTAATGGGAAGGGAATGTCAAGCATCTGTAAACATGAGCTTGGTTGTAATTTTATTTGCATTTTTTAATAAAGGTTTTATTTTTAAGTAATCTCTACACCAGTGTGGGGATCGAACTCATAATCCTGACATCAAGAGTACATGTTCCTCCAACTGAGCCCGCCAGGTGCCCCTCATTTGCATTTTGATGTGTCTTTTCAACCTGCCTTTATTGCCTCCAAGAAGGGAGAATTGTGTGTTTTTTGTTTTTTTTTTTTGCAGGGGTTGGGGTGGGGAGGAACCATTCTTTTTCTGTATAAAGCACAGATTTACGTACCGTACATAGAGATATGCAGTATACTGTGCACTAACATTTCATGGGAGACGATCAGGAAAAATGTCTTAAAGAGGCTCTTAGAGGAGGCAATAAGGAAAAAAAGATTGAGAAACACTGATTTAGAGACTGCTTTTCATACTTTCACATTTATGGAACTAGGATGGATCTGAAAATGGGTAGCATGTCATAGTATAATTTTTTCTTACTTAGGTGGAATTTAAATAATGGTGCATATCACACTGTTAGGCGACTTGATGGTATCTTAGATTTGGGGAGACATTGTGTATTTCGAAGTACTGAAGAGATTAGAGAAGATACTCTTTATTATTTGACCAGCAAAGCTGACAAAAGGGCTCCTCTTTTGGGGGAAAAGATTCTTTTTTTTTTTTTTTTTAAAGATTATTTATTTATTTGACAGAACTAGAGAGAGACAGTGAGAGAGGGAACACAAGCAGGGGGAGTGGGAGAGGGAGAAGCAGGCTTCCCGTGGAGAAGGGAGCCTGACGCGGGGCTTGATGCCAGGATCCTGGGATCATGACCTGAGCTGAAGGCAGACGCTTAAGGAACGACTGAGCCACCCAGGCGCCCCGGGGGGAAAAGATTCTTAAGCATATTAAAAACAAAGCTGTCAACTTTCCCGTTTCCTTTTCTAACTAAATGTTTTCACGGATGAAATTGACCTTGGACCAGTTTTCCAGGCCAGAAATACCGGTCATCTTTGACTTTCCCTGTGACTCAGTCCAAGTGTCCTTCTAATTCAGCTCCTCCTTTTTATCACCAAGGTCCATCCAGCCCCATCTGTGCCCCTCCCAGCCGCCTCGCCCTCCTGCCCACCTCACCCTCCTGCCCCAGCCTCCTAGCTGCTCCCTGGCTCCCCTCTCTGTACTTTCCAACATTGTCCATGTGCTGCTTCCTGAGCATCTGCTTTTATCATGGTACTTTCTTGCCCCCAAATACATGGCAACTTTATTTTATTTTGCCCTTTACATTGGTTGAAGGAAAAATACAGATTTTTTACATAATAGCAGTTGTATGTTTATTAGCTATTGATAATATCACGAATTCTTTAATACTTTTAAAATGAGTTGAATTTTGTTCATCAAAGCATCATTTACATATATTTGAGGAGTAATAATGCATACACCCAGGAGATGTGACTTAACTGGTACTCAGAGCACGGTGGACCTGGCTCTGGAGACTCTTAATTATAACTCAGTGGTCCTTTGTGTCTTTGGTCCACAACTTGGAATCTACTTCACCTCAGCTCGGGCCGTTCCACTTGACTCAGAGGTACTCTATTTTCTGGCCTTTTCCACCCATCCGACCTTATTCTGCACTCGACACACACTGCCACATTCTTCAGCCAAGCTTTCATTCATCACACCCTTTGCTGAAAATATTCTGTGACCTTCCTATTCTTTAGAGTCTGCTAAAATCCGTGTCAGCAATGACACATTCTTTGAAGACACCAGAGGCTCACACAGCATCCCCCACTTTCTCTGAGAGCCCAGTTTCTTTGTTGTTGTTATCTTTCCCATTTCTTTGTTATTGTTTCTGGCTTAATACTCTGCAACTGCTCTGATACTCATCATGGTCAAAAATTACATCCTATACTTGCTTATATCCTTGTCCTATGAGCAGAACCCTGTCCTGAGAATCTTGAATAAGCATTTGACTAGCTGAATTTAATGTTTAAAGACAGAGCTACTTTCTTTTTCTTTTCTTTCTTTTTTTTTTTTTTAAAGATTTTATTTATCCATTTGACAGAGAGAGAGAGGGAACACAAGCAGGGGGAGTGGGAGAGGGAGAAGCAGGCTTCCCGCCAAGCAGGGTGCCCAATGCGGGGCTCGATCCCAGGACCCTGGGATCATGACCTGAGCCGAAGGCAGACGCTTAACGACTGAGCCATCCAGGCGCCCCATCTTTTTCTTTTCTTTTTTAAAGATTTGTTTATTTGAGGGAGAGAGAGTGTGTGAGTGCAGGTGGACAGAGGGGCAGAGGGAGAGACTCTTCAAGCAGACTCCCTGCTGAGCATGGAGCCTGACATGGGGCTCAATCTCATGACCCATGAGATCATGACCTAAGCCGGATGCTCAACCGACTGAGCCACCCAGGCACCCCAGAGCCACTTTATTCTTCTATAAGAAAAAGCGTAGGGACGTCTGGGTGGCTCAGCACATTAGCGTCTGCCTTTGGCTCAGGTCATGATCCCAAGGTCCTGGGATCGAGTCCTGTATTGGGCTCCTTGTTCAGCAGGGAGCCTGCTTCTCCCTCTGCCTGTCGCTCCCCCTAGTTGTGCTCACATGCTCCCCCTCTGACAATAAATAAATAAAATCTTAAAAAAAAAGTGTGTATGATACAAACAGATTTTTAAGTAGTGGAAAAATAACTCTGCATACTGCTTTGCTCATGGGTGATATGTAAGTAAAAATTTATAGTACTGAGTCTAACACCAAGAAGCCAGATATGGAAAGATTTAGAAAATGCTTGTAAATGAACATTATTGGTTCAGTCCTATATACTAACTGAGGGCAGGCATCCTGCTTGTCTTCATATTTCTGTTTCTAGATCTTTCATGGTGGCTTGTACACAGTCAGTCTCAATCAGTACCTGTAAAATGAGTGACGGGATGCGAGCCAAGAGTGGAAAGAATTCTGGGATGAGAATCAGGACCATGGGGGAATTTTAGTCCTGAATTCCATACTCTCTTGTTATATGAGTCAGTTGATTGGTATCTTTGGGCCTCTGTTGTTCTGGTATGTGAACAACCACCACTTATCAAGAACCTGTGGCTTGATAAAGTTTTTGAATATTTTTGCAAAAGGAGGAAATCAGTGTGTATTTTTTAAAAAAGATTGGCTAAAATGCAAATTAAGTCCTATCACTGTTATTTCTTTGGAGAGAGGGTAAAAAATACAGCAATTGGTAAAAACACTTTGAAGAAATCAGAGCTCACGATAATAACCAGTATTTCATTGAAAGTCATTTTTTTTGAAAGTCATTTCTAACTGTATTACTTAATCTTATGTAACAGTGAGTGCATTCAACATAAAGAACATAAGCTAACACCAAAGTTCTTAGAAAATGAAGGAGCCTGGGGAAATGAAATTTGAGCACTTCTGTTTGCTTTGTTCTTCCTCAATGGACTGTGTACTCTCCCAAGGGCAGGGGCAATATCTCTTTTATTTGTCACTGTGCCCCCAGCTCCTAGCACAGTACCTGGCAGGTCGTAGGTACTCCATCCGTACCTACTGACTGAGGAAATCATGAAATCCTGGGGTCTGATGGAGTGACAGGGAGGAGGGATGACCATCTGATAAAGGTAGTATTGAAACAGTTGTGGGCTAGGGAGTTGATGAGGCTTGGTGACATCTATGGTGTCTTCCAACTTTGATTCTATGATTCCTTATTCTACAATAAGTTAAAAAAAAACCACCCTAACCATTTAAACAAGCTACAAATGGGCCATGATAATATAATCAGTTACACGGCTGACTCAGAGGTCACACAGACAAACTATTAACTGTAGATTCATCTCAGCCTGGGCTGGGGTCCAAGGTGGGGAGGGTGAAGACACCCGACAGGTGATATTTTGCAAGTGCTTGTCATGGAAGCCCCATTGCTTTAACAATATCCACAATGACGGGCATCCCCAAAGGCCCCTGGGGGTTGAGCCTGATCTTTTTTCAAGACCCTTGCTCTGATTTGTATATGTTCTTACATAGGCTTATTTTAATTCTGTGATCTGTTTTTAGAAGATTTCTTGAGTTAGAATTATCTTTTAACCCCACATCATGTAGAAAAGCATTATGTTATTGTCTGGGTTTACAACACTTGCATTTTACTTGAAACCATTGCAGTTTCTGGGCAGGGTTTGATTTTGGGATTTTTGTGGGTACCTTTGCTATATTTGTCTTTCTTGGTCTGTTTCCTTTTCTTGCAGCTGGTCTTGGAAGAACAGGGACGCTGATAGCCTGTTATGTCATGAAACACTACAGGTTTACACACGCTGAAATAATTGCTTGGATCAGAATATGCCGGCCAGGCTCCATTATAGGACCCCAGCAGCACTTCCTGGAAGAGTAAGTATATGGCCTCCGTTACCATATTATGTCCTTGGTTCTGATCATTTCTACGTCGTGTTCTCCTGGCTGTGGACTGTGTCAAGCCTGTGCTCATAAAATGGCTGCACTGTGAGAGAAGTCTGTGCCTCTAATGGAATATTGTTGATTTGACAGCTAATGCATTCTAACTTTGTACCTTTTTTATCTCTCAGATCAGGTGAGAGAAGAAAATCACAGAGCCATCTCTGCCTACCTTTTTTCTGTCATTTTCTATGTGTGATCTGGCTACAGTGCAATTTTCTTATGTCATCCTACTTGACACTTTTCATTCTTTTCTTTTGTTTGCGTGTCTAAAAGCAGAATGAAAAAAACCACAACTAAGGTCCGTCAGTGATTTGGGTGACATTGCTGCTTTCCTGACAACGAACTAAACTGCTAAAGTAGCTGCAACTTACGAGTTACCAAGGAAGAAAAAAGAGAACTGGGTTTTAGTCCTGGCCATGCCACTAAATGGCTTTATGACCGTTATTTGGAAGAATACTTATAAATTCATTCATTCATTCATTCATTCATTCATTCGCATATGCATGAACTATTTGTCAAACCCCAGCCCATAAGGTGGAGAGATTTAACTCCTAAAAGAACGATTCTTTCTGGTTGTCCCATAAAATTTTAGAAATTACCACTGATTTATCCATTAATAAAATGAGGAGATGAAATTAGCACTAGCTGATTTGGGTCCAGCTCTAAAATATTATCAATTATATCTTATTAAGAAATTTTATTTTTTTCTTTTTATGCTGCGATAGCTGTATCTTGAATAGCATTCTTTTTTATATAATTAATTTCTTTTCCCGTTTAATCTCTTTCTGTTGGTGAGAAACAAATGATTGTGAGTGACTTTCACAGAAAAGATGCTCTAAGTAAGTCATAAGCATCTGAAATGGTTAAAAGGATTTGAAGAGTCCTGCTGAGGAAACTACTTCAGTTGCCGGCCCCAGGGGTTGTGAGGGGGTGGGGGGAGGAGATAAGAACACAGTGCTGGAAATGTGAATTTATATCTTTGCTTCAAAGAATGAAATAGAAGTGTAATGAATACACAAGCAAAAATACCAAGAACAGGATCATTAAGAAGACAGAGATTCCTAGGGTTGGCCTATGAGATACAAATAAAGTAATCCTATTATTATAGAGATTTATTCTGTATCAGATTCTCAGTGAGGGTTTCCTCTGCTTTATGTGTGCCTAGAGCATGGAGCTTGGTGCTGTGTATCTGCCAGGGGCTTGTTGTACTAGTTGCTCACTAAAGTTAAGTAAATTAGGATTAGGAAACAGAAACCAAGACACTACTAAGCCTGCTTCTTTAAGAAGTTCCATCAGTCTCTTAATTAAAACTGTTGTTGGGAAAAAACAAAAACAAAACAAAAACTGTTGTTGGGAAGAATGTTCATTCATTAGGTACCTACTGAATACTCACCTTGCTCCCAGCACTTTGCTAGGTGTGGCTCCCGGGATGAGGAGATGTAGCTGAGAATTGCACCTCATTTTCCCGGGGTGTCAGATACCACAACCCTCCCGCCTCATGCCTGTTCATGCCCCCCGCCTCCCTCCCTACTATGCCTCTTCTCTCTGCCACATCTCAAAATAACAACAGAAGAAATTAGGTTATGAGGCAAGAAGGGCACTCTACACTGAAAACAGGTTTTTGTTTTTTTTTTTTCATTTCATTTCAGCTAGAAAACTCAGGATAATATGGACTCTTTGGTGTGAGTCCATATTATAGTTTTCTTTTTTTTTTTTTTAAAGATTTTTTATTTATTTATCTGAGAGAGAGAATGGGAGACAGAGAGCATGAAAGGGGGAGGATCAGAGGGAGAAGCAGACTCCCCGCCGAGCAGGGAGTCCGATGCGGGACTCGATCCCGGGACTCCAGGATCATGACCTGAGCCGAAGGCAGTCGCTTAACCAACTGAGCCACCGAGGCGCCCCTATAGTTTTCTAAGTAGAGAAAAATACTTACAGAAAAGTAAGAACTGAGGTGCAGGAATTACTTCCTTGCATAACTGAAGCATTAAAATCAGTCATTAATTAAAGTTATTAAATTAAGATCAGGCCTAGAATAAGTCGTTAATGCTTAGGTCAGAACCTTCCTGAAGGCAGATTCTTTGAGGCACTAGACCTTCCATGTTTTGCAGTATTTCTCATGGAGCCAGTGTGGGGAAAATGCCTGCATCATTTCCTAGGCTTTATTAGATCACCTCCATCAAGGTAGGGATCTAATCTGCTTTATGCTTTGAGTGGCACCAGAGGTACTATTGTGCTTTACTTGACTGTGCATACTTCTCTTCTTATCTTCTCCTCTTCTTTTTTTTCCTTTCCAAGCCTGTATCTTGATGTACCCCATAGCAGAAGACATTGCTTAGTGCGTTCGTGACGTTCATTCATCTGACAGAGATTTATTAGACATGCACTCTCTGTCAGGCCGTGCTCTTGGGCCTGGGGTGACAGCAGGGAACATGCCAGACAAGGGGATTTACTCCCAGGTGTAATATCTCTAGTGGAAGGAGCAGACAATGAACAAGCGTGTAAGTTTATAGACGAGATAATTTCTGACAGCGATACGAACAATGGAGACTAGCGGTAGGGGAGGGGGGTGATTACAGGGGATGGGAGAGCACTTTGGCCAAGGAGTGCTTCTTGAAAGAGAGCCAGAACCTCGAGGGTGGAAGGAACCAGTGCTGGTGGTCTGAATTGTGTCCTGGGTAGCCGGCACGCGGAGGTCCTGAGATGGGAACGTGCACCATTTCTGAAGCCCAGAAAGAAGGCTAGTGTGGGTAGAATACAATGAGCTGGAGTGGGTGGTTTGAGAGGTCGGCTCAATCAATTTTCACAAAGTGAACATACCCCTGTAACCACATTGCAGATCAGGAAATAGAACAATTAGCAGCATCCAGAAGCCTCCCTTGTACTCCTTCCGTTCACTACCCAGTTCTTCTGCCTGTGTGACCATTACGCTTACTTCTAACATCATACATGAGTTTTGCCTGATTGTAACCTTACACAAATGGAATCAGTATGTATATCTGACTTCTTTCAGTCAGCATTATTTTATTGTTATGTGTAAAAGTAGCGTGTTCATTTTCATTGCTGGATAAAATTCCGTTGTTTGAATACGTAATATTTTAGCTCTCCTGTTGATGGATATTTAAGTTGTGTCCAGTTTGGGGCTATTTCCTATCTTTGGTATATCTATCTGTTGGATGAATACCTGTGAGTGGAACATTCAGTTATGGCAGGTATCACTAAAGACTTTTCCAAAGTAGGTCTGCCACCTTAGATTCCTCTCAACAGCGGTGGGAGTTCTACTTTCTTCACATACTTACTAATACTTGATATTGTCAGTTTTTTAAAGTTAAGTCATTATACCCTGCTCATAGTGGTATCTCACTTTGTAGTTTTAATTTGCTGTTCGCTGATAGCTAATGTGGTTGAACTTTTCATGTATTTGTTGGCCATTTGTGTATTCTCTCTTTTTTTAAAAAAGATTTTATTTATTCATTTGAGAGAGAGAGAGAGAGCACAAGTCAGGTGGAGGGTTAGGGGGAGAGAGAGGAGCAGGCTCCCCGCTGAGTAGGGAGCCCAATGTGGGGCTCGATCCCAGGATCCTGGGATCACGACCTGAGCTGAAGGCAGACGCTTAACCGACTGAGCCACCCAGGCGCCACTGTGTATTCTCTTTTATGAAATATATTTTCAAATCTCTTACCCATCTTTCTATCAGACTTTTTTCTTGTCGATGTGTAGGAGTCTCAATATTCTGGCTACATGCACACCGTCCATTCTATGTAATGCAGATAGATTCTGCTTCTCTTGGGGTTTGCTTTTTCACTCCATAGTGTGTTTTGAATAGAATTTCTTGTGGTGAGAATTTTTAAGATCTACTCTCTTAGAACTTTAAAACATGCAAATACAGTAGTATTAACTGTAGTCATCATGCTGCATATTATACCATCAGGACTTATTTATCTTATAACTGGAAGTTTGTACGTTTTGACCCCCGTCACCCATTTCTCTCACCCCCCACCTCTGGCAATCACCAATCTGTTATCTGTATCTATGAGCTTGTTTTTTTTTTTTAGATTCCACATATAAATAAGATCATATAGTATTTGTTTTCTCTGTATGACTTATTTCACTTAGCATAATGCCCTCAAGGTCCATCCATGTTGTCACAAGATTTCCTTTGTTTTTATGGCTGAATAATATTTAATTATATATATATATATATATAAAATACATTTTCTCCATTCATCCATCAGTGGATGAATCTTCAGTTTTTTCTATGTTTAGCTATTATAAATAATGCTATAACGAACATGGGGGTACAGATATCTTTTTGAGTTAGTGTTTTCATTTTCTTCGGATGAATGCACAGAAGTGCAAATGCTGGATCATGTGGTAGTTCTATTTTAAATTTTTTGAGGAACCTCCACACTGTTTTCCATAGTAGCTGCACCAATTTACATTCCCCCCCCACAGCACACTGAGGTTCCCTTTTAGTCATTTTCTGATTTCTAATGCCATAGATTTGTTTTACTTGTTCTTGGGCTTTGTTTTCTTCTCAGAATATTGTTTTTGAGATAGATTCATGTTAAGTATGTCAGTAGTATGTTTCTTTTTATTACTTAGTATTCCACTGTATGAAAATATCATGATATATTGACCCACACAACCGTTGATGGGTATTTGGGTGATGTGTAGTTTTTGGTTTTTATGAATGAAACTGCTGTGAATATTCTTCTACAAGTCTTTTTGTGGACATATGTCTTCATTTCCTTTATTTAAATACCTAGGAGTGAAGGTCACTGGATCATAGGTTTAGATATAGTTTAACTTTATGAGGAATGATTTTCCAAGGTGGTTAAATCATTTTATATGCTACTTGTAGGAATATGAGTTCTTTTTTTTTTTTAAAGATTTTATTTATTTATTTGAGACAGAGAGAATGAGAGAGAGAG